GGCCTGGCACCCTTTTTCCAAACCCCTCCTTTGGTACCGTAGGATTTTGGACAACTGGCGCCATGCTGCAATTCGGGCGCCACTTTCAAATACTGCATTTTTCAGTTCTGCCCTCGGGGCCTTTGCAGAAATGCCCCTGCTACCGTACGTGTCACCGGTACTTATACCGGCTCCCCGTACGGTACGGGGACCAGTCTCGTACCAGTTCTCTGCTGCTGTACTTGTACTCRGTGTGACTTGCCGTTTCGGCATTGGGAATCAAGACTTCGACTTTGTGCCTTGCCACTGTGTCTGCGTCCAACCCTCAGTCCGAGTCCGTCGTGTCGAGTGAGTGAGTGTGTGTGTGTGCTCTCACTCTCTCCCTCTCTCTCTCCTCTCCCTCGGCTCACCCTCATCCTCACTCCCGTTACAGTATTCCTACTGTGTGTGGACTATCTTTGCTTCATTGTTTTCTGGTTGTGATCTACTCAGCTCTCCTTTGTGACTGGTTGTGAGGATTCTGTGGAGCGAATTGCACTTTCAGTGTACTCTGTCGTATCGCATGGTTAAGTCTTCCATTGTGTTTCTCTCTCCCTGTGCGGTGTGATACTCCCATCCTCTCCCCTTCCTTCTGTGTATGTATGGGCATACCTAGAAGTCTATGTGAACGAGTGTCGGTCTTTCACAACAAGCAACCAGGTTCATAACACACCCCTACAGACCGGACAGGACGGTTCGGGTGTGGGCTATGGAAGCACCACATCCAATTTTCGCAGTCATAGTTGCTGCATCCAATGGCACCACGCAGACAGATGTCACATGCTACGTGGCTCCTACATGCTAGGAACACAGAGGCACGTCGACTGCAATTATAGAGGCATTGCCGTTCCAGCCCCTGTCTACAAATTGGACATGACATGTCGGGGTGCCGTACATGAGTACAGTACTGACTGTCATCTTACATATGGAATCAAAAACTCGCATGGACTATCCCTTCATAATCCTCATGGGAGAGGGCATGCGAACCACATGCTAGTTGAATCTCCGGCGGGTCATCACAAAGCGGCATGGAGCATCTTTGTTGGGCTTCCTCAGTATTTATTTTTTCTCTATGGGCAGATGACGACAGGGAGGATCGGTCCAATGCAAGAGCGTTCAGCTGCTGCAGGATTTGGTCCGCAACAGCTAGCCCTGGTGGTGATAAACTATGAGCACATCGCTCTGCCGATGGTTTATAGAAGTCTATTTTCCTCCTTGGACTGCTGTGTCCGTCGTACGTCTGGCAAGAAAGAGGGAGATCCGTCAGTGGTTGCTGTAGGTGTATGACCAACACTGCATGTGGGACATGCTAGGAGAGGATGTCGTGGGTGATGGCACCGGGGATAGTCCACGCAGTAAAGACATACTTTCTATGACAGCTTCTTGGAAGCATTGACGACACATGGCATGCTGCTGACATGTGTGTGTGTTTTAGCTTTTCCCCACAACAGCCCCAATTCCACCCAGATGAATAGGTTCAGAATCAAAGCAGTCTTTGTCCTATTGCAGACAACGAGAGCATTTGAGATATCCAACATATTCAAGCAATTTTATAATTAGACAGTTTTTTGGTTGTCCTTGGGGTATCCCTTATATTGTTCTTGCAGCTCCCCTTTTACTGCGCCTCTTACGCACAAGGCTGCCCACGTTTGTGGTTGAGCGGCAGCTGCCCACATCCCCGTGTGCCTTCACGACCCACTTGCACGTTATTTCAAGAGGCAGACTGAAAGGGAAGGTATGCTCCTGTGCATTTCTCCTCCGAGCTTGATACTCCTGTTCATTTCACTTTAGATCTTCAGCTTATACAGTCTTTGTGTCCGTCCTTCATCTTCATACCTCCGTTCATTTCATTTCTGATCTTCATATCGCCTGTTCTCTTAATGATGCTCATTTGTATGTATTTGTTAGTAGCACAAAGGGAGTGGAGGGGAGGGTGGAGGGTAAGGAATAGAAGGTAGGGGTGTGTGAGTGTGTGTGTGTGTGTGTGTGTGTGTGTGTGTGTGTGTGTGTGAGAGAGAGAGGGAGAGAGAGAGAGAGAGAGAGAGAGAGAGAGAGAGAGAAGAAGTGTTACGGACTCAGCCGGGGCTCGATCCCTGGTCCGCGGGGTACCACCTGCCAGCCTGCTATTTTAGTTTATTCTGAGTGGGGATCCGGGCCGCTCGGGTGACCGGCAGGGGCCCGTGGGAGGTCCCGGGCGGCCTGGCCGGGCAGGGCGCCCGGTTGGGGTCCGGGCCACCCCAGCGCAGTCACCTGTCGGGGGATTTCGCACCCCCTTTCGGACCCCCTTTGTGTGTGTGTGTGTGTGTGTGTGTGTGTGTGTGTGTGTGTGTGTGTGAGAGAGAGAGAGAGAGAGAGAGAGAGAGAGAGAGAGA